ATCGCCAAATTGTTGTATTTCGTGCTGATCATGTATTATCACTGTTATATAATAGAATTTTATTTCTTAAATTTAAGTTGAATATTTTTTTTTAAATCCGTTTGTATATGCCCGGCTTTTCTCCTTATTACTTATCTTTTAAATTGTTAATTTCTTAATCAGAGACACATTTTAAACAGCATAAAAGATGCATAAAAAAAGAAAAGCATAGCTTATGCAATAATGAGAATACTCATTAAATTTGTCTATTATTTTCATGTTATTAATGAAATACTTTTTGCATTATAAATACATTAGAAACTATACTTTTATTGTAAATGCTACATATTGAAACATTGGAAATTTATGGATTTATTATTATTCATGATGAAAAACATTTGTATATATACATTCATAAATATAAATCTTATTCATTACATTAATACTAATAAATATATATTAACAACTTCTAAACCATCACATCTCTCTATCTGTATGTAAATATATGACTTATTAGATGTGTATATATGTGTATGTATGAATACAAAAATGAACCTTGAAAAAAGTTTATTTGAAGTTACTTTTAATTCATATAACGATCATGTAATTGGCAGCAACTGTAGTCATCAATTCTTTGCAAATTACCATGGATATGTAATAATAAGTTGAAGATCTTATTAGATGTGAATATATGTGTATGTATGAATACAAAAATGAACCTTGCCAAAAAGTTTATTTGAAGTTACTTTTAATTCATATAACGATCATGTAATTGGCAGCAACTGCAGTCATCAATTCTTTGCAAATTACCATGGATATGTAATAATCAGTTGAAAAATAATTGATGAGCATTTGAGTACTAAAGAGTGTACACATTTTGTTATTGGGTTAATTCATAATTATATCATATGTATGATCTACACAATATAAACATGACTAATAAATAATAAGAAATGTAGCAACTGTGCATTTATAACATTTGATTACTTAAAACACTGCACAACTGATCATCACCTTCATGTCTGTTTACATAATGAATTGTACTTTCCAATTAAGTGCACCGGCCTACTAGTGGCCGAAGCGTCGTTGAACACTCGTAGTTATGTCTCAGGTTAGAATGCGGCGAACGGGCTGCCTACATGGGCATTTTCTTGGTTTTCCCCCCTTGTAACTAGTATACGAGACAGTTTTAAAAACATCTTCTACAAAGGGATACCTCCTGTTAAGCAGATATCCCTCGAGGCTTTGCCGTAATCACATAAAACAAACTCATGATGTGCAGCACCTAATTTCTAGAGTTCATATAATTAACGTGTTTTAAGTATATTACTGAGTGTTCTATGGAACAGTAAACAACTCGCACATGTTTGATTGCTTAAGTATTCATATGCTTTATTTGATCTTCATTTTGCTGAATAGTATCTGCTGGCTGTGAAGATGTAAATATCAGCCATACAGATTTTTGTCATAAAAGGTCCCCCCCCCCTTTTTTTTTTTTTTTTTTTTTTTTTTGTCTGTTTGTTTGAATGGACAGAACAGTAATTATGAGCCATAAAGTTAGTCAAGAAAATGCTTTCACCAGGTTACAAATATTCCAGTGAGCCATCAAATTTTCATTGAAATGCAGACAACAGAAAATACACATGAGTAATGTCTGATAAATAGACTTATCCAGCACACGTTTTAAAACTAAAACTATTCTTAGTGTATACAGAATTTGGCTATTACTGATGTAATTGATTGCTATAACCAGAAGTGTGTTTATCTGTTACTTGAAGTGCCAGAGTGGAGATCAAAGTGATTAACTTGATAACAATCACCTTTCTGTTATCTTCCATTACTAACAATAAAGTTTAAAATGAAAAGAGTGTGAGCGATACATAACAAAATGAAAAAACAAACGTCACTTTCACCAATCTGAGCGATAACTGATTCTTGTTTGGCTTTCAACCTGTTTACCAAGTGAAGATGGTAACCCTATTTCGCCAAACAGCGTATGTGATAAGGGTTTAATTCTTTTTATGCCACCTTGCTCTCCCAATCTTACTTTTGAAGGTGGGGGAGGAGGATAAGTAAGATATCACAAAATATGATGACTGCTTTAAGAATAATTGGCGACCTCAAAATTAACTATTCTAGATTTGGTGCTCTCCCACTAAATTCATCTGTTCTCCCAAATTCGAGGTCTTTTCATGTTATATAATATTGCTTGAAAAAGGTAACTAAAACTAAAATTAACCAATCATAGCTTGTCTTTACAATTGCATCTACTTCGGTATAAATACCACTCTCAAGAAATTATGTCATTCTTTTCCTAGCTCCGGCCATGCTATCAATTCTATGCTACTCTGTCTGTCTTTCTCTTATTCTAAAATGGTGTTGTATCCCCATTTATCTGTGTATACAGGAAATTATTGTAATTGCTTATAATCAAGAAGGATATTGTCTATGAAGGATTATTCTTATATGCTTAAATAAAGACTGGTAATGTATCGAAATCCAGTTTCGTTACCTTCGTCTCTATGCATTCAACCCCTGGCTATGACGACTGCAAAGCTGACTCCTCCTATGCATTATATTATCATTTATATATATATATATATAAATGAACAAGGTTGAAAAGTCCACTCAGGCAGTAAAGATGTTTTGGTACTCTTCTGTTATCAGGACTGCATTCAGAAGTGTATATATGTATGCTTGTACATATGGATGTATGCATTCATGTATGCATGTTTATATGTATGTGTGTATATACATGCACAAACACATATGCACATATATATACATTTCTTAATCCAGTCCTAAAATAATCTTCACACACACACACACACACAAAAAAAAAAAAAAAAAAAAAAAAAAAAAAACGAAATTATATGAATATTTTTTTAAATGCATGATAAAGGAAATAGATTAAAAGGAGCAAGTAGAATAAAAATGTGTGTATATTAATAGTTATTTCCTGAAGTTGCAACAGGTCTATTAAATGAAATTTCACTGTTATTAGAAGCATTGCAACTATTCCCAATAGTTCTAGTTTCATACAAACAACATAACCAGGTTGTTCAATAAGTTCGCGGAACGGAAATGAAGAAACCAATTTTTATTTGTAAAAATGACTTATTTTTCAACGTAGTTTTCCCTCAACTTCAATACACTTATTCCAACGGTCTTCTAATTTATGAATCCCTTGACTGTAGTGGTTTTTTGGCAGCTCTGCAAAATATCCCTCCACGGCAGCTATTACCTCTTCGTTAGAAGAAAATCGTTTTCCACGGAGATATTGTTTGAGGTGTGGGAAGAGCCAGAAGTCGGAGGGAGCTAAATCTGGCAAATTGGCTGGATGTTGCAACAATTTGTACTTCAATTCAGTTATTTTAGCAATAGTTTTTTTAGCTGTGTGGGCAGGTGCATTATCTTGGTGGAAAATGATTTTCTTCTTCTGTAATCCGGGTCTTCTTTCACAAATTTTTTCGTCTAATTGATTCAAAAGGTTACAATAATAATCCAAATTAATTGTTTTGCCAGTTTGAAGGTAATTTATAAACAAAATTCCTTTCGCAATCCAAAAAACTGATGCTAACACCTTCTTGGCTGAGTTTTGCACACGAACTTGCTTCGGCGCCGAAGAACCGGGTTCACACCACTCCTTAGCCTCCTGTTTTGATTCAGGATCATGATGGTAGACCCAAGTCTCATCCACTGTGATAAATCGAAGGATAAATTCACTTTTATTCTTCTTAAAATGCTCCAAATGTTGCTGGCAAAGTTGCATCCGAATGTGTGTTTGCTCCATCATTAGAAAATGCGGCACCTATTTTGCACAGAGTTTTTTGAAACCCAAATTAACACTCAAAATATTGCTCACTGTGCCCAATGAAATTCCTAAAGCCTCTGTTAAATCTCTTTCAGTCAATCGATGGTCTTCCAATACCATATCTTGTATTTTTCTGATGATTTTCGGTGTTGGTGCGGTTTTTGGACGTCCCTCTCGCGGATCGTCTTCAAGGCTGGTAAGACCACTTTTGAATAAACTAGCCCACTTGCAAACGATTGTTTTTGAACGAGTAGATTCACCCAACACATTCACCATTTCAGTATGAATTTCCATTGCCTTTAAACCTTTCTTTACAAAAAATTTGATAACTGCACGTTGCTCAATCTTATCCATACCTGAGAAAAGGCACAACACGTTAGATATAAAGGGCGGTTAAACAATGAATAAATTAACAGATCGAAATGAAACTTTTGACGTGTTCCTAAGAAAGAACAAATATGAAAATGGCGTCGAAGTTTTAGGTCTAATAATAGATGGCGCTCGGCAAACTTATTGAACAACCTTGTATTAGCTAACTATAATCATTATAAATACCAGGTAAATTTCACACTGCTTTGCTAAATGTTCTTAATAATAATATTATTAAGAATGTAAAATACTAATAATGTAAATTATTAATAAAGAATGTTAAAGATAATTTAAAATATTAAGGTTGATAAGTGTATTTGGATGTGGACACAACTATGAAGACAGATTATGTATGTACAATTTAATAGGATAGTACAGAACGTACTATCCTATTAAATTGTATAGTACATTGTATAGGTTAGGGAAAAAAGAACACTGCACATAATATAAAACTGTAGCATAAAGCAATAAAAACAATACAGTATGTTACAAGGAAAGTTCAGAAGAAAAGAATAACTCAAAAAATTAGGGCTTAAAAATTTAATATGGAACATGATTTCTCTTGACTTGTACACACACGTCACAACATATCCACTGGCAGTACAGAACATACTATCCTATTAAATTGTACTGTAGTACATTGTATATTGCACTATAGTACAGAATATGGTACAGAATGTACTGTCCTAGTATTAAATTAATTTTATGCAGATATTTCATTTGAATGAACGTAAAAAATAATTGTACTAAAATTATAAAGTGCAATAAATAAAATTTTTTGTCATAGTAATAGTGAATATCTAGATATAATGTAAACAGAATAAATCTTAAATCTTACCTTCGTAAATGTTTTTTGACTTTCATATTTGAGACACTTAGGGAATATATACAGATGATTAATATATGTTGTATATGGACTACAGTTGCTAGGTATTCCGCTAGGAAACTGCTCTATTTCTAAAGTTGGTTCACATTTGGGTGGAACAGGAAATGGCACTAGAGGCATTAATGAAGACGTCAAGGTATCTAAGACAGAAAAATCACATCATGCAAAAAACCTGCTTTTTCATGCCTAGGGATACATAGGTAAATATAAGAGAACTAACCAGGAATTAATTATATATTTTTTTAATTACGTGAAATTTCAGAGCTAGAATATTATTATTATTTATGTAAAAAATGATTAATGATGTATGCAAATTTATAAATAAAATTTAGCATTTAAAAATGTCTTAATCATTGCCACATTTATTTCTCGATTGATTCATAGTCATTAGCTATTAAATTAATAAAACTTTACTGATAAATCGTGTGTTTTCAGTTTATAACATGCTCAGATTTTCTCTGGAATATTTAAAATTTTTGCCAAATCAGTGAAAATGATTAAATTTCCTTTTATTTTACAAAAAACGTTTTTGAACATTTACATAAAAAAGTAATAACTATAAGTTTATTGGAATCATAATATCATTATTCTTATCACTATTCTTAACATTTCTTATATTAATATTAGACAGCTCAACTAAAGGTAGTGATAATACAGTGGATTGTAAGTAAAAAAAAAAGACATTGCATAAATGCACAAAGAATACTAGAGCTAAGAAAATCACTAAACAAAACAAACACACATGCATTACATTTTTTTTTCTTATTTATATAAAAACATTTATCATTAATGTAACAGTAATTAAAATTCACCATAACAATTTTAACAAATATATTCATTTACAAAATAAAAAGCAACAAACACTCACAGAAAACAGAAGATTAATAAAGCTGAGAACAAGATGCTGATCTTTTAAACTCTACCTAAAACTTCCATTAACTAGGAAATATATTTTCTTACATTTAATGCTAAAACAGCAAAATTTAATTAATGAATAAAGATTCATATAACTTCTATACTAACACATTAATATCTAATTATGGCAAATTCAATACAAGAAAGTGTCTTTTAAAACTTGAGCAAAAATGTCTGACATACGGAAGCAGAAGATGCAGATAACAGTTGCTTTCCTCAGATGTATTGTTCAAGACAGTATCAGACTAGTTAACCTCAGTGCCAAATAGTGTGTGGTTATGAAGGAAGTTTAAAATCTGATGCACTATATCAGGATTCTCTTGTATCAATGAAGAACATGTTCATGAATCCATAGAAAATGACCTCCATGAAAGTCAGCCAAATTAATTAAATTATATTAGAATGAAAGCATACATAGAATTGAGTAGGTGATTTTGAATGATTGACAATTTACTGTATTTGAGTATTATTTATGTGAGAACTACCAAATAAATGGCCAGAAGACATCGACAAGAAAGGTTTAGAACTATTCAGTGAAACGTCATTCTGTAACAAGGCAATGTGAGACTAATATATTTTTCAAAACCGTAGCGTTTGTTTTAGGTGCAACTCCTTTGTGTCACAAGCCGAGCTTCGCTCGTCAGGCAGGCCGATGCATCCTAAATAAACAAATAAACCGTAGCATTTGTTTATGATTTGCATTGAAAGGTACTGTCACACTTGCTCTATGAATTGATTTCAACTTTTTTGCCCCCTGAAACAGTATATTAGGGGAGGAAAAATCTCATGTATGATTAAATGTTTCAGGCAGATCAAAGAGATCCAACATAATTCTATACTGCTGGAATACAGAAGCTTGTAACCAGATGGAGGTAAAAAACTGTGTTAGAGTGCTATGAGGCAATGTCAAAAAGTAGTATAGGTAATTTAAATTTCTCTCTCATGCTTCTCTAAACATTGATCAGTCCAGACGTAGCCAGATACTCCACATATATTAAAACTAATTTCTCAGATTTTGGAACTAATTACACTAATAATCATTAATACAGTTTAAAGACAATAATGATGTATGCAGGAAACCAGGTCAAGGTAAGGAAAAAAAAAAAAAAAAAAACTTCTACAACAGATTGCTAAAAGAAACAGATAGCTGGTGCAAGCCCAAATTGCAAGAGAGTTTTCTGCAGTTATAGGAACTTACTATCTAAAAATATCATGAGCGACAGGTTGCATAAAACAGAGTTTGTACACAAAGATGCCCATGATTTGTCTCCATTAACTTAATTTATAAAATGCTCCATTTACAATGCCACACAGATCACCATGATTGAAGTACCAGGGACTGGAACCGAGTTCTTTTTGCTTTAGAGAGTAGTTTCCGACATTTTATTATCCAGAAGGAGTAAAACTCACATAATAAACCCTGAAAACATTTCTGAAAGGCCTCACTATACAAAACTAATGAAAACATAATTTGCTGGGCATCATTCTGAATGACTGCACTGACCTATATATTTTAACCAGCGTAACTTTGTAGCGCTGAAACATACAGAGATAAGGTTCTTGATCCTTATGTTAAGTTTTTTTAGTGCTGCAACTGGTAATGACGTCCTCTAAATGGATGATAATGGTTATTCCCATCATGCTACACGAGTGGCTGATTATCTCGAAGCCAAAAGAATCCAGTAGATAGAATGGCTCACATATTCTTCAAATTTAAATATAATAGAACATGTATGGGGAGCATTAGGATGTGCTCATCTCTCTGGAAGCTTGAAGGTGCTATTCACCTTGGTTACCACAGGAACTCCTGGGGCATACAGCATGGAAAAGTACTATGAAGCTTGTACTTCAGTCAGGAATGACCATACAACTAAAAAATATTTTTCCCCCTGTACTTATAAAAAGTTATAATGCCAACCTTTTTCCTACCACACTTTATATCACATTCCTTATGTTGTTATTTAATATTATTTTTGCAGAGATGAATTTTACATTTTGAAATTATGCCGAATAAGACAAAATAAAGATTTTATGCAAGTTCCATGTTCTTAGCTATAAAATCAATCAAGTTACATGAGTTTTTATAATTTTTCATGTCAGTGTATGAATTATAAGATGGCTGTGTTAATAATAATATAGCTGAAGTGCAAATTGCAGTATGGTTTTTGCATTTAAAGTGAAGTTCACAAGCAGAAATTTCCTCGCTAATACACTTCATGCATGATATTAATGTTACATTATATAAACAAGTTTGGTTTTGATGCACTGATTCAATAAAAAATGAACAAATATGCAAAATGAGCAATAAACTAGTAGGACAAGCACATCACCATAGATGATAATATATGTCTCGTTGAAGCTTTTGTTTGAGATGATTGTCACATTCAACTTAGCAACATTGACAAGCAGCTCAGCTACTCAGTGAGTAGTATACACAAATCATTCTTGACAGTTAGGCAACTAGAAAGTAAATTATGCAGTGTGCCTAAGCAGTTCATAGATGTTAACAAAGTCATGTGGATGAGACTGCCTCTTGTGCACTTAATGTGGCTTAACGAGGACAGCATTCTGTTTCTACGTTGTATTATTACAGGAGATGCAACATCAGGTGCAGCATGTTTTAGCACACACACACACACACACACAAAAAAAAAAAAAAAAAATAATAATAATAATAATAATAATAATAATAATAATTGCATGAATTTAGCATTGTATACATTTAACATTATATGATATATTACTCTTATTATAAGCTTACTGTTATTGTTATTACTGGTACTACAAGTTTGCAAATTCTGACAGCTTATCTTCTGATTTTTTTGACTGATCAAGGCGATCACTCAAGTAAGTACTCTGAAAAGTAACATTAACCAATGCCTTACTACAATATCTATACATATCTGACTGTAAAATAGTTTGCATCTGAGAGGACTTGTTATCTTACTGGAGCATACTGATTGTTAATTTTCACTTTGGTACTAAAGCTCCTCCATGTTAAAGAAACACTTTCATTATTTTAGAAATTTTTATAATTAACAGTTTGGTCACAACCACCATTTCAAGACATATCAAACATCTTAATATACAACCTAAGTTCAGTGCTGCACTTCTATAACTTACACAAACTTATATTGGAGAAAACAATGTGGTGAATCATTGCTTATTACATTGCTTTTATCACTACATGACTATCAACTCATGCTTGAGAATAACTCACACAGTGATGCCAAAATATTTTTGTAATATTAGTTATTGAATACGATACATTTATTTTTTGAACTATGACTATATTGCAAGCTATTGTAATATCAAATGTACATAAAAATAAACAATGAAGTACTCACTTTGCGGAAGTTCTTTTAGCAAATGAACATTCATCTTTATACAACCTGGAATAACTGTAAGATGCTTTAACTTTTCAGGCCTAAATTATGAAAAAGTAAATGCAAATTCAAAGAGGGAAAAAAGCACCATACACGAAAATCGAAATCACATGAACATAATTATGGGCAAATCAGCTTCTAAAAACATGTCTACATTTTACATTTTATAATTATACAGTCTATTCACAAAAGTCTTAGTGGCCTTTATTTATGAAACTGTTAAAAATGGTTTAAATAAAGAAAATATTTATATTATGGCACTTTAAAATTTAAAAAAATATTTTTGTGAAAATTACAAAATGTAAGATTTTATACAACACTACTGTCCTGACAGTTACATTTAGTAAAAGCTTATACTTATTATAAATAATAAAAGACAAAAAGTTTGACTCCCAAAGGATAAAAATTAACTGAGATACTTAGTTTTAAAATGGCATCACATTCAGGAGTTATATACAAACTGGGCAGCAAAATGCTTATAAGTAAAAATGAAATATCAGTTTATAAAAAGATTTTTGATGTTAAGAAATTACAAGTACTACTATGCACAAATTACAAATTACAAGTACTACTTACACTGCTATGCAGACATCCATTAAAAGTATAGAACGATGTAATATTCATCCCTCCCCCCCTAAAAAATATGCTTTAGAAAAGAATGGCTGACTTTAGTACTAGCATGTGGCCAATTCATTACATGATTTGAATACAGTAAAAATAAAATACTTCTAGTTTTAATAAATAATAAATAAAATAAAATTTTTAGACGATTATTAAATTCAGATTCTAAAAGTAATAAAACTGTGTATTATTATCCTGATATCTGAGTCAATTTTTGTCATACGGGAGTCAAACTCTTGGTACTCACCTTCTTAGAATGACTAAAAAATTTTACTATAGAGAAAAATGTACCATATTAAAAGTTAAATTTTATAATTTTAAAAAACTGATCTTCTAAATTTAAAAGTGCCAAAACATGAATATTTGCATCATTTAAAACATTTCTGTAACAGGAACAATATGTTTATGACCAAAAAATATAAAAATGGTTGTCATTTAAAGGCCTTTTGTGGATACAGTGTATATATACACTCGTCATGAAGGGATTAAACAGCTATATTTTACACAGAAATAATAGTGGTATTTACCTATTTTCTATTAGATTTCATTTTAAAGGAAATTTTTATGACAACCTAACTCCTGTTCAAAATTTTTTAATAAAGTACAAAGTCCGTATTCCAGACATCCATTATCCGGAATGATCTATAATCCAGACCTCAAAGCCAGAAACTTTTTTTGTATGCTTTATGCATGCACGTAATGCATTTATGCATGCGCGTTTAATGTATAACAGACAGCATAAGCTAGGCTAAAAAATTATCTTTACTGATTCTAAGGTATTTCAGTTGATGTTGCAGATTGTGCTATTTCTTAATCTTCTAATTTGATCCAGCTTGTTATTTTTTGCAGACTTTTAGAGCAATTTTATAAAAATTATGCTTGAACTTTCGATTATGTCAAAAAGAGTTTCCAATTCTGGAGCTGCCAAAGGATCTACAAAGCGAAAGCATGTTTCAATGTCCATCAAACAAAAAATGAAATTGCTGTAAAAAATGGATAAAGGCATATCTGTCTCAAAGTTATGCGAGGAATATGACATTGGAAAGTCAACTGTATATGACATAAGCAAAAAGAAAAAGGAACTTTTTGATTATTTTGAGGATTCCGACATCCCACTTGCAATGACTAACAGAAAAAGGGCCCGTTATGCTAAAAGTGACGATCATGACAAAGTGATGATTGAATGGGTCAGACAGCATCGAAGCGAGGGCGTGCCATTGACGGATCCAATGCTAATGGCTCAAGCCAAAATATTTCATGAAGAAATGACCTTAAAAACTTAGTGCACATATTCCAAAGGTTGGTTATCAACCAAAGTTAAAAATCGCCATGTTATAAGACAATTAAAAATTTCAGGTGAAAAAGCTTCAGCTGATACTGAATCTGCTGAACAATTTGCAGATGAATTCATTGAAATCATTACTAGTGAACAATTATCTCCAGAACAAATTTACAATGCTGATGAAACTGGTCTTTTCTGGCAATATGTACCGTGAAATATCTTGGCAACCTCTACTGAAAAGGCTCCAACTGGTGGCAAAGATTCTAAAGTGAGACTATACAATTTTAGCATGCGCAAATGCTGCAAGAACGCACAAGTGCAAACTTTTCGTAATCGGAAAACATGCATGACCTTGAGCATTTAAAGGAGTAACAATTTTCCCCATTATATATCATGCAAATAAAAGAGCATAGATGACAGAAGCGCTGATGAATGACTGGTTTGAAATTAAATTTATACCCGAGGCTCGGCGACATTTGAATTCTGTTTGTTTACCTGATGACTCAAAAAAAATAGCCCTGATTGTTGACAACTTTTCGGCACATACTTCACTCAAAGTTTTAGTGAAAGATAATGTATCCATATTATTCTTCCCTCCAAATTGTATGTCTATCATTCAGTCTATGGATATGGGAATAGTGCACACGCTGAAATGCAAATATAAAGTAGCATTTTTAAAATCTATGTTAAATTTCTTGAACAATGACAAGACTATTCAAGATTTTTTGAAATTATGGCATAATTTATGACCAGCTACCATATTTCATGGTGAAGACGATGAAGATGATAGCAGCGAATTTGAAGGTTTTTGGACATCGCAAACTAAAGGTGAAATTTTCCAGTGATTTTGTAATGAAATGTGGAGAAGTGGTAATGAATGAAGATGATATAACAGAAGTTTTTCATTGTGATGACAATGCCCCAATCATCAATCAATTAACGGACAGCGAAATCTGTAGTATGGTTCTAGATCCAGAAAATACCACTTCCGATAATTAAGTCAGTGACAGAGAGGTTATTGAAAACGAAACAAATTCGATTGACAAGTTAGTAGGTATTCTTGACACAGCAATTACAGGACTTGAACAACAGAACTTTGTAACTGAACAAGAAATTATGTCTGTTTATAGAGCTTTGGAAAGCACACACACTATTATCATAGTACTTTGTATATACAGTTCTCATTAGTATTTGATGCAATTTTTAATAATCTGCACCCATATAAAAAGTTGTCAAGTCATTAGCAATTTTGTGAATTAATGAAAAATATTTGTTTAGCTAACTTAATGCTTTATAGGCAATGTTCTGTTCATAATAACAATAGAATGAAGAATTTTTTAAAAGAAACAAGAAATTTTATGAGGGGGAAAAAAAGAAAATCTATATGACTGATATAAAGTATTTTTTTTCACAAAAATCACACAGTTTTTAGCAGGAAAAAAAATTATTAAGGCTGACATTTACATTTTTGTATACTTTTCAGTACTGATGTTAATATATGCAGCATGTAAATCCATATGTACTAAAACATATGTGTAACATTCACATGCACATACTGGCTGTTGTTTTCCATATACTTGAAAATATGCCAAAACCATGCCATTTCTACCAACTATTGAAATGGGGTGCAGATAACCAGAAAGTACGACATTTGACACATACTGAACCATGTAACAAATAAACTGCCATATTCTTTGCCTTTTCCATATTCTAATATTAGTTCAAAACTTTTTCGACATAGTGCTTCATAGGAATGCAAGCATAACTAAGAAAATTATTTCAGAATACATATCCCCCCCTGCTGTTCAGGTTTTATACAAATACATAGGTACATGATATCTCAAAAAATTTGTCAACAGATACCAATTTTCTGATAACATATACCATTTTACAACAGTTATTACCAGTTATAATTGTCAGATTTATTAAAAATTAAATAAGTATGGAGTTCAGTGAAGTTCAGCAACTAGCCCATCAAACCTCATTACTATTGTTGACAGACAATTCTGAGATCAACACAGAGTGGTCAGTAAATTTCCAAGAAATTTAACAATCAATGCATAAGTCAAAAGAGAAGAGAAGCACACCAAAGTGAAACATAAAATTAGCAAAGTAACCACTTCGTGCCAATGCCTAAGTTTCTGTTGCTTATGGCAAGCTCTACTAAGTACTGTATCTCTCTTTTAGTATACTGCTTCTTATCTTTGATGAAAAAAGGATAGAATAATTTATTGCTAATTTGGTTTAGCTCAATTAACAAAATTTTTTAAAGTTGCCAAGACTGGATGTGGTGATGGTGGTAGTGGACTGCCTGGCACAAAAACTTAAAGGTTATATACATCAAAAACGTGTTTATTACATCGAAGTATGCCACAAGCAACAAACAAGCACAAATTTAAGAAAAGAGCACAGCTATTAAATCAAACGAGGTGAAAAAATGAGATGTTATGAAATAAACAAATAAATAAAACTCACATGATTTCAACTGCAAAACAGGACTAAAAATCAAAAGTAAAATATGAAATACATTAAAATATTAACAAACAACATATAATAAAATCAAATTAAGTAATAAAGACCTGTCTCTTTCAGGTACAGAAACAAATTGTCATTTACATCTTTCACTATAATACGTTCAAAAAGCAAGTCACAGATGCTAAAATACTTTAATCGCAGTCAGTCAAAATGCAGACATTCAATTAGAAAATGATGCACAAACAGAAAGCAATTACAATTTGAACAAAGAAGTTACTCTTAGCCTTCCAAAGGTCACTGTGTGTGACTTGAGAGTGACCAGTCTTTGGGCGTGTTAACAAGACTTCCTCCCTTTGGCTCCTAGTGGTCTTCCAAATTTTCTACTTTTTGTTTTACACTCCTCAATTTATTCAACAACAGACCATCCCAAAATAATTGCCATTTATTTAGCATTCTCTTTTGACGATCGTTTTGATACCATTGTAAGGGACAAGCTGGTTCAATAAAACAGTTGCATACATTGCTGTTGTGCTTGCCAGCTCGTTGCTTAGACATGAATGTAAGAGCAGAATACACAGCAGTCAATTCAGTGCTTAATACAAAACAAACATTGCCCTCAGTATGGTCTCTTATGACATTATGAGCGGGAGCGGGTATTTGTAC